TGACTAGATATTTTTCATACATTTAAAGGCTTAACTAGCTTAATTAGGTTAACTAGGCAGGTTAGGGTAATTAGGCAAGTTATTGTATAACGATGGTTTGCTCTATTGACTCTGTTGGCTGTTAAAGATCATTTTGAAAATATTAAAAAAAGAAAATACATTTCAAAGGGGGGTTAATAATTGTGACTTCATCTGTATATTTCACTTAAATAATTAATGCATTACCCAAACCAAATATAAAGGAAAAACAGCGTGACAAGTCTCGCAACAAGTTAATAATTTTTAAAAAATTGTTAAATTATCAGTGTTTTTGTTCATCACAAAAAAAACCCCCAAAAAAAATCATTTTAGGTTTTAAACACCGAAATAGACTTTATAACCAGCAAAACAACCATTTAAAGTTCATAAAAGCACAGCGGTTGTCTGTGAAATTGGCAATAATCATATTAAACATAATCTAATAATAATAATAATAATTCCCCACATTCTATAGCGTTTTAAGGATACTCAAAGTGCTTTACACATTAGGGGGAATCTCCAAATCTACCACCAGTGTGCAGCATTCACCTAGATGGCGCAATGGCAGCCATATTGCGCCAGACCACACACCACACACCAGCTGATTGATGGAGAGGAGAACATGATAAAGCCAATTATGATATGGGGATGGTTAGGAAACCATGATGGACAGGCCAGTGGACAAATTTGGCAAGGATACCAGGGTTAAACCCCTATATCGTGGGATTTTTAACGAACACAGAGTCGGGACCTCACTTTAACGTCTCATCCGAAAGACGGCGCTCACTAAGCAGTATATAGTCCCCTTCAATATACTGGGGTGTTAGGACCCACTCAGATCGAAGGTTAAGCACCCTCTGCTGGCCTCACTAACACCACTTCCGGCAGCAACCTAGCTTTTCCCAAGTGATCTCCCATCCCAGGTACTGACCGGGCACTGCTTGCTTTCAGTGGGCGACCATGTAAGAGTGGCAGAGAGCTAGCTGCCGGAAATATGATATCTAATAAAATCAGAAATATTGGTCACATTTATAACAACAATGTGAACCGCTACGCAAACAGATTTGAGCACTATCGCAGTGAGAACATAGCCCATGTATACTGAAGTCAGTTATTCAGTGGTCCTGTTGGAAGTTTGCTGAGGCCCTCTAGTGGGCTCTAGCAATCATTCAGACTTTTTTAAATAAATATTACTACACACACACACACACACACACACACACACACACACACACACACACACACACACACAGAGACTAATATCACTGCATGTGTCTGTATTTCAGGCTCAGATGGTGCGCTGTATGCTGTCCCGCGTGCCTGCGGAGCGACCGGAGGCTTCCGAAATCACAGAAGCCCCTTTATTCCAGGAGCTGGAGGTGCCCTGCAGAATCAGACAGCGCACTCGAACGTACAGCGCCTCTTCTGCGGGACGACCCTCGCGACAGATATCCTCTTCAAACTAGAGCTCAAACGCACACACACGCATACTGTGCCTCGTCTGCGGGATGACAAACACAACCAGTCACCACCTCTAACAGCATTCACACACAGATAAACAGAGACACAAAGAAAGTCCCGCTGGCGTTTATGCTAATGCCGAACAACAACTGTAGAAGGAGACTTGATGTTTTTTTTGCTGACGAATGACCTGCCTTTTGGACGCCATTGTGCATGTCTTTAACAGGATGTGAGCTTTCCGAATGGGCGAAATTGTACACGTTATTTTGTTCTCCTCAAATGTAAATAGGCTTCAATACGGAGCAAGAGAGGGGCTTTAAAGGTGCTCGTTCAAGACCAACGCACAAGTTCAGAGGCAATTTCAGCCACTCAGTGTTAGTGGCTCACGTGCGCATCACTTGAGGGATCTGTGTGGGAATTCCTCAAACTGCCTTTAAGCTGGACTTCGAGACACGTTTGTGATGATGGTCAGTATGAGATTTAGAAAAAAAACGACAGAGACTTTAAAATAAATAAATAATCATTCTGTAAAATACTTCACATCATTAGCACCCAGAATTGTAGTTTACTGTATTTTTCAATCGTTTACTGAACACACACACACGCACACAAAATGGGAACACTTTTTACAGTAAGGTTGTATTAGTTAATGTATTTACTGGCATGAACAAACAATGAACTGTACAGTTATTCCAGTATTTATTCAGCTGTTGTTAACATTGACCAATGTAATTTAACATTAGATTTGAATAATTCATTAGTAAATGTTGAATTATAATTATAAAATGCTGGTATTGTTAGTAAATACATGAACTAATGAAAGCTGCTTGCAAATAAGTGTGACCAAAAAAGAATAATACTAATAATAATCAACCTGAATGAGAAGTGCTTTGACTAATCACACAACGAGAATAAGGATTCTGGAGGAATCGCCTCGACCAAATATTCAGCACACACTCTTAATTGTAACATATCAGGTAATTACTGATTGTATGGCTTTGTTTTCTTACCAGTTTTGATTAGAGGGACTGAATTTCCTTTTGTATATGATGGAATTTTCTGTATAGTAACTGCTTTTTATGACGTTTTTCAACTTCTTTGGATGTATTTTTTTTCTTAAGAGTTGTTTGAGAGAGTGGATCTTTCCAGTTTGACGGACTGGATCTGTGGTGGTGTTAAAGAGCAGTTTGTGTGTGTCTGTCTGTCTGTCTGTGTGTGTGTGTGTGTGTGTGTGTGTGTGTGTGTGATTTTTGCTGCAGAACGGACATGAGATTATGACCTACAATCCTTAAAATCACTCTGTAACCCACGTCAGGGACCACTTTGTGAGTCTTCACCTCGTAAGCTGTATCTGTGAAGTGTCCCGGTGAAGATCCTTTTTGTTCAAGATCACTGTGGCAAATCCTTCCATCAGGTTTTTCCCTGCTGTCTTTTTGCTTTTAAATCCATTGTATTCATGCTTTTGTTATGGTAGCGTTTTGGTTTTGATGTTCAGATTCTTCAGTGTCCTTTGGAGGGTTTGTTTTTCTGTTGAAATCCCAGGTTCTTGTTCTCTAGCCCAGCCAGTCTCCTGCCGTCTATGTAAATATGTTTATTTGTTTTTATTTATGTTGAGTACAATAATCAGTCCGTTGGATTGGTTGAGGTATAAATAAGGTATATTAATGCGCTTCATCCATTGGAGTGCATTGAAATATTGTGACTTCTTACAAGTCAGAATTTAATAAACGTTCTATGATGTTTGTAAAAGTGTTTGTGTTTTTCTGTATGAAAGAAAACATCTCTGAAGCTTATTTAAAAAATACATATTTTCAAATTTATTATTTATAAAATTTTAATAACTTTATAACTGTAACTGTTGTTGAATAATTCATTCTTTTCCCAAGACTTAATTCCTTTAATTATCAGGGGTCGCCACAGCAGAATGAACTGCCAACTTATCCAACATATCCAGCAGATGCTCTTCCAGCTGCAACCCAGTACTGGGAAACATCCATACACACTCATTCACACACATGCACTACGGCCAATTTAGTTTATTCAATTCAACTATACCACATGACTTTGGCGTATATCGGAGCACCTAGAGGAAATCCATGCACAAACATGCAAACTCTACACAGAATTGCCAAATTACCCAGCCGTGAGTCTTTCGGGAGAGATTATTCTGTTATACAAGCTAGTATTGTTTGTTATAATAATAATAATAACAACAACAACAACAACAACTCCTCAATAATAATAATAACAACACCTCAATAATAATAATAATAATAACAACAACAAATATGATAATAATAATAAAAATAGTAACAACAACAGCAATTATAATAATAACGAACTAAAATAATAATATTAATAGCAACAAAAACAGCAATAATAGTAATAATAATATCCTATATAATATAACTTCAGCTGATTAAAATTATATATTACTAATCAGTTCTTCCCACTTTCCTACATAATTAAAATTATGTAATATTTTACAGTTCAATAGTAATATAGTGATATTTTGATATAAGTCTTTATTGAAATTGGTAGAATTACTATTTGTTATTTTTAATAAATAGTTCAGTTATAAAACACCAGTTTATTGTTAAATACTACTTCAAAGTTTACAATAATAAAAATAACAATAACAACAATTATTATTATTAGTCAAAGTAGCATTAATGTTAATATTGAATGACATTAGTTACATTAACGTCAGACTTGTTTAGCCTCTAAATTTTGTCTGCTTTCAATAAAAATGCTTCAAACTTAAATTCTTGTTGTTGAATATTTATAGCCAATAAATCATCTTAAGTTCGTTGGCAAAATGACTTTTAGGCTCTGATTATATTGAATTCAGTCCAACTTTCGGCAGTTTAGTGTTGCATGATAAACTAAATAATCTGAATAGTGTATTAACAAGTCTTCGAACCCAAACAGTATTTCATAGCACATGAGATCCAGAAGGGGGCGCTGTTAAGCAGTTTGTAAACTGAAGTAGAATCTGTGGGATGAAGAAGCCTTATCGCGATCATCAAACCATTTACATTAATATGATTGGGCCTTTAGGAACAGCTTTAGATTATCGAGTTCACTTTTATCTATAATTCTATCTTTCATTTTCCAAAATAACAAATATCATGCACTGAATAAAACGCACTGTATTGCTATAGATCACATTGATTTGATAACGTTACTTTAAAATTAACTTTCACAATAATTAAGCCGTGATTATTGCATTTGAATATAGTCATTTCATAAATAAATCAAACTCCGCGCTGCTTATCAATCAGTGCGCACTTCCGCATCTCGCCGAAATTTCGTCACTTCCGGGTGTCAATATGAGACTCGGTGCTGCAGCGATAAGCATCGGTAAGATGTGAACGAGACGAGAAGATAACAAAAAAATCCGCCACCGAAGGATCTGCGGACCGCTGACACGCTCTCCCGATACTGCCACCCTCTTAGCCTCGCTATCCACCCGTCACCAGTAGCGGATTCGCCGCCGACCGTCAGCTGTTTGTGCGCGAATGGCTGCGGAGGTTCGGAGGGCCCTCGGCCGGGGCTGGAGTCTGACTGTCGGCCTGGCTCATGTAGGCCTTCACGGCACCGCACTGCGATCTCTGCTCTTCATCACAGCCCTCAGTGGATTGCTGCGTCTGCCCGCGGCCACCGAAGCGAAGGAGTGCGATAAGCCGTGCCTGAACGGCCAGTGCAGCGCAGCCAGCGGCGCGTGTGTGTGCGAGACGGGATGGGTCGGGGAGCAGTGCCAGCACTGCGGCGGCCGCTTCAGGTGAGACGCTCCCGGCTGGGATTCACAGTTCAGGTTCTTGACATTGACTGGAGCCCGTGTGTAATGCGTGAGCTCCGTTCACAACACGCAAGTGTTGTCGTAGTTCGGTTTATGTGTATGTTGTTGTCAGTGTGTCTCAGTGAAGGCTCTTATTGAGGATTTCTGAAGATTTAAACGACCTGCGCTGTCAGGTGTAGGTTATTCTGTTCATTATTGTGCAATACTGTCTTTGAGAAGAAGCCCCCAAATATGGCTAATTTAGGAGATTTTAAGTCTGAGGTAGACTTCATGTACATATACAGTGCTTGACAGATTTGACAGACCACCACAGCTGCTCTAAACTTACAGTATTTGTGCTTACAGAATATTTTTCTACTGTTTCTTGTAATGTTTGTTTTTGTTTTATTCTCCCGTAGGCTGTTTGAGACATATTATTAATGATAATAATATTTATAATGTTTAAAATATAATAGATAACATCAATGAAATGAGAAAAAAATTAAACTAAAACTTAACGTGCAAAAAGAATAAAGCTTAAATGTTTGTCTGTCTGTCGAAAGCTAAAATGTGATATGAGCAATCCCAGCGTTATGGGTTACATTTACAGTACAAACTCAAAAAAGAGATTCAGATAGAGAATGTTAACATTATTTTTAAACATCTGTTTATCGTTTATCGTTGTGGTTAAACAATTAACCACAGAGTTATGAGATCAGAAAAATAACAATCTCTAAACATTTTTGTATATTTGAAATGAGCAAAATAAACATGCGTTTTGAATGTGACCTAAAAAGTCTGTGAGTTTAGAGTATACAACACTGAAGAAATTCAGTGAATTAAACCGCACAACCCAAAATATACAATGCCAATCAAAAGGATAAGAGTCCGCTTTCTATAGAACAAAAACGGATGATTTCATTTACGTTTTTGCATTTATGAGGAAAAAGCTTCATTATGAATGTGCCATCTCTTTGTTATCAATGTGACAGATGTGATGTAAATATAATTGACGTTGACAGACATTTTTGAGTATTTTAACAGTACTGTAAAATACAAGCCTAGCCTACATTAAAAAAAAAAAACCTAGAAAAGATTTTGCTATTTTGGTAAAAACTTTTTTTCATGGCGAGTTTGACATTTGCATGGTATTGATCACGTTTGGCTGAATATTGCACTTGATCATTTTTGACCACATTTTTGACCGCCTATAAAACTCAATGACTATTTGTTTCAGTTAATTATTTACACAATAAGTGAGAATACAGTTTTATTTTTACAGTAAAAGTGAAATCTTCACTCATTTTCTTCATGCTCTGCTTTTGTTGAGGGATGATTAAAAGCAGATTTCATCCAGAAAACTACATTTGCCATATTCCTATACAGAAAGTTCACAAATCAGAGGGACATTCTGAGAAACCTGCATCAAAACTTTTTTGCTCCACCCACTCTTATGAAGCACAAAAGAATAACATTATCGATTCGATCTCACTTTGATCTCAATTTACTATCAGATATGTGAATAACTTTCATTCATTCATTTTCTTTTCCGCTTAGTCCCTTAATTAATTTGGGGTTGCCACAGCGGAATGAACCGACAACTTGTCCAGCATTTTTTTTACGCAGCAGATACCCTTCCAGCTGCAACCCATTCACTTTTACTCACACACATACACTACGGACAATTTTAGCTTACCCAATTCACCTGTACTTATGTCTTTGGACTTGTCGGGGAAACCGGAGGACCTGGAGGAAACCCACGTGAATGAGAAGAGAACATGCAAACTCCACACAGAAACGCCAACTAACCCAGCTGATGCTCGAACCAGCGACCTTCTTGCTGTGAGTCGACAGCACTACCTACTGCACCACTGCGCCGCCCAAGTGAATAACTTGAAAAGTCTCATTTCTATAGACCAAAAAGATATTTTGGTAATCTTCAGTCAAAGTTTGACCATATGCTTCCACGTTTGGAGTGGTGGTCCTACTTTGTTGACCCCACCGCTACTCGGTGTCAGTTGGAAGTATGTCAACATAAGTCTCAGTATGTTATGTTTCGCGCAGACTTTAAACTTTTTTTTTTAATAATCCTTATGGGAATAGTGAATAGATAAATAGATTCTCATGAACAAATTTACTGTCATTTTTATTATTGGGTTGTAATAATACAGTAATAAACACGGTAAACACACTATTATCATGATTTATCACTTAACTGTGGACTTAAATTTAGGAACAATTTTGGCTCACAAACAATTATTAGTAAGTATTCTACAGAACCGTAGCCAGACTAGTGAAAGGATTGTTTTTTTTTTTCTCAAAAAAAAATTGACCTATTTTAACTATGAAATTTAAATACTGCATTTTAGTGACATTTTTGCTGGATTAGCTAGTCAGATGTCATCATAACCACACTTTTTGATGTACTAAATATATTTCCTAAAAAATAGCAACAAAAAATTAAAACACGACTCAATTTTAAAATTCAAATTTATTACATCATTCATCATTAGGAAAAAAAAATGCAATCTGTTATAAAACTGGCCAGCATATTCAACTGTCCTCAGTCACAATTTAACCATTTCAATGAAAAATAATAATTAAAACACAATAATAATAATAATAATAATAATAATAATGAAATCTTCATTATTACATTTAGTACATTTGAAAACTCCTGTATATCCACAATAGCCAAAATATATTTAAATAAATTTAATATGGTCTCCTTCTGGTGCTTCACACCTTTTTATTGCTCATTTTTATTTCAGAAATACGGTCCAAGATTTAGAATAAAAGTTTCCTGTAAAATGTTTTCTCTGTTTAAAAACAATACAGTAGTAAAAGAAGACTTCTCTTACAACTGTTTATAGTCCCACTGAAGCAACAGCCGATAGAGGATTGTGTTTGACCTTAAAGCCTTTTTCGATGGATTTTTAATCCATTAATTTTATTTTCAATATTTATGATGGCATAGCAGTCAAAATAGGAAAAATGAGCTCATGTATGGGACAAATTCTGGACTTTTGTCAGTGAGGGGTGGGTCTTCTTTGATGTCGCATCAAAGGTTCAAATGTTACCACTTAGTGGGTTATGTCACGTGACTTGCGTCACATTATTGTGGCTTTGAGGCGCCAATATATTAAATTAATTATATAATACATATATTAGATTATATTAAATTGGATAAAATAATTAAAAGGACATATTCTGGACCTTTTGGCTGAACCCCCTGGCTGCGGGCATGTTCTATATAGTTATTTATAATTTTATGTAAATTTGCAGGTGTCATGGTGGCTCAGTGGTTAGCACTGTCGCCTTACAGCAAAAAGGTTGCTGTTTTGAGTCCCGTTTGGGTCAGTTGCCATTTCTGTGTGGAGTTTACGTGTTCGCATGGGTTTCCTCCGGGTGGTCTGGTTTCTCCCACTGTCCAAAGACATGCAGTATAGATGAATTGAATAAACTAAATTGCCCATAGTGTATGAGTGTGCATGATAGTGTATGGATGTTTCCCAATATTAGGTTGCAGCTTGAAGAGCATCTGCTGTGTAAAACATGCTGGACAAGTTGGCGGATCATTCCACTGTGCCAACCCTTCAATGATTAAAGGGACTAAGCCGAAGGAAAATAGATGAATGTAAATTTGCAAACTAGAATCCAGGTTTCTCAAGCCATTTGGCCTCCAAATTGTCCTTGGAAGTCTTTTGTTTTATCTTTACTTGTTACTTTTGGTTCAGCTCTTGCTTTCAGTGTTTTGGTAGCTCTTCAAGAGTGGTGTAGATCAGATTAGATGAGCATGGTGTTTGAACAGTAGTATGAGGTTTGGTTGACTCATGACGGCTCCCTCATGCTGCTCCATCATGGGATGCGACTCGATGGGCAAAGTCTAGCAGACACACTGGTTACATTGGAGGCTTTGGGTCATGCGGGGTGAATCAGGCTCCAAATGGCTGAGAAGAGAGCGGCAGACTGAAGGCAAATGATCATGTGGTGTCAATCATGAATCTAAAAGCCACGCTGGAGGCAGAGACAATTCCTCCAATGTATTTGAGTTCAGGAATTTTCCTGTCGTCCTTTTGACCATGGATATAAATCAACGAAATGGTCTTAATTCATTACTAGTGCTGTTATTAATGCAAATCAGACATGCTTTTTGGACATATTAATGTATTTATAAAAATGTTATCTGATGTGACGTGTAATGATGATGAATGTTAGACAGCTAAAAGACCCGATGCTGCCATTGACAAACAAGACCCAGTTTGCACTGGTTTTAAAATGTACTTTGGTTAATCGGATCACAAGTAGACGAGAGACTTGTTTACACCTGGTGATTTAATCTGTTTCTTTTGTTAACTTTGACCACTTTCCTGATTTCTTTAAGACAAGAGTCTGTAATATGTACACTGTGTGCTTTTTAATGTAGAGTACATATTGTGAACATGAAAGGAGACACCTGGAAATTATATAAAAAAAACAGTAACTTTTGTTTCTACTCTTATATCCTCATATCTCTGTAGGTTTCAAATGCTTTGTTAGCGTTTATGCAGTGAATGCATACACTTGTTTGAAAGTAGACCATATTTTTGAGATCAGATCCACAGAAACGCATCTTAATATCAGGTATAAACATGTCCTAATTAAACCTAAATGTAAATAGGAAAATCATGAATTAAAATAAAGCAAAATATATAAATAGTTATATAAAATCTCACCAAGTTACTAAAACTGAAGTTAAAATGAAAATCTAATTTGAAAGCTAATAAATACTATAATCGCTTATCAATGATATTATAAGACATTAATTACATGATGCTTGCAAATTAAGCTAGCTATCGTAACAGTGGTTGCAGTAGCATCATAGTGTCATTAGGGATGCAACGATTATATATTTTGGTTGTACTGTTACGGTCTGAGGAGTAATCCTGGTTTTACGATTATCATGCATTCATTAATTTCAAAACACTACTAGTTATACACTCTAAAAAGGAATGTGTTGAAAACAACACAACATGTGTTATTTTCAACACATGTCCTGAGTGTGCTCAGGGACAACACATGTTGAGTTAAGTTTAACACACAAAATGTGTCATAAAATGTAACACATTAATGTGCAGCATAAGTTGACACACAGATGTGTTATTTTTGTATGTGTTTAACACAACTGTGTGTTACTATTCATTTTTTGTAATTTTAAATGTAAAAAATATTATAAATGTAAAATCAATATACAAAATCTCACAGGAAACATTAAACACTGTTCACATACTGTTTAATTTTCCCAAATGCATTCAAATGTTTTACAGCAATTCATTGTACATAATATAAAAACTCACTTTATAAAAGTATTCATTAAATTGAACTCGTATCTGTTACGCATGCCAATAAAATGTCAAATATGTATGAAACATATCCATTTTCAAAATTATTCTCTAGTGAAAGAAATTAATAACCAAAGCACACTGATTATACATTCACCCACATGTAAGGTGCTTGTCTTAACAAAATAAATCATTGTCAAATCTAGTCAAAACACTTCAAACATTTAGGTAACCCTTTATAGTAACGACACAATATAAATTATTTATTAAGCATTAGCAAGTACAGTAGTTGATTCACTATTTGTTAAGCATTAAATCTACATTATAAGACATTAGTAATGGGTTTCTAAATACAGCTACAAAGGCTGTTTTCTTGACTTATAAGCACATTTATAATGTGCCTAACAATTGTACTTTTATAATTCATACTTTCAAATACAAATGGTTTGTAAATAATGCAGTCCTTAATTTAGTAGTGAAAAAATAATCAGAAGCAAAGTGTGAAGGTACAATTATTAAGCACATTAAACATTTACTTATAAGTCAAGAATACAGCATTTGTAAACCGCTAATGTCTTATAATGTAGAGTTAACGCTTTACAAATTAATGAATTCACCATTTGCTAATGCTTAATAAATGATTTATAGTGTGTAGTTATTATAAAGTGTTACCAAAGTTTCAATCACTAACATGTTTAAAACAATATTTTGTATTTAGGAGATACATACTGCTGATCACAAAATGACAAAATGTCTAGAGGTCTGTAATCTATTAAGTCCCCAGGCAGCAAAGCAAAGAGAAAACGATTTGTTCTGATGACACTGAAGAAAAAAATATGTTCATCAAAACACTTAACTCTTAAAACTCTCGTTCCCTGTGTGTCCTGACTCTTCAGAAGGGCATGAATTAATTTTAAAATGATCTGTTGAGATGTTTTAAAAAGGAATTTAAATTATGATATGTTCTAGGGCAACGATTTTGACTACAAATTAAAGTTAGGTTGTGACTATCAGAGAGTGCATGCATTTCCCTTAAACGCCAAATTACAAAATCATTTTAAAGACACTTTGGATAGGTGTACATGCTTATTTCAATTAGGTACAAGACTGCACCTTAGCAATTAATTCCATTACCTTTGATCGTGTGCAAGATGACTGGGACAAGGACAAGTCATATATATATATATATATATACTCAAAAAAAAAAAAAACAGAAGACAGTTGGCATGGATACTGAAGATTGCACAGCCAGAAGAATTTGAAAAGTCTGTCTTCAGCACAGGTCAGGCTTTCAGGATCGAGTGGAAGAGCAAAAGAGTCATTCTTTGCCACAGCTACAAGTACACGTACACGTACAAGGATCCATGTCCTAGACAACCAATAGAAACCAACTGCGGCTGAGCTGACTTCAGGGTCCCTTTCATGGATTCAGTGAGCAAAGATGTAACGGTGGTACCAGCCTTCAGGAATGAAACAATAAAAAGCATAAGAAAATGTTGCTGCATTAGAAACATTTTATTTATCATAAGCTAAACCAATAAAAACTATACCGGCACTTGCTCCAACAGGTAGGACACAGCAGAAGTCACACAGCATTTACTCCCAGCAACACTTCTCCCAGAGGCAGTGGGTGGAAGAAGATGAATAAGGATCTTTAACAGTTTAACAGCTCATCTTGAAGTGAAGATACAGGTCACATGCAAAATAAGAATTTAAACAAAATATATTAGAAATTAATATCTTTAATAGAATATTAATATTCACATTAAGTTTTATCTTTTAAACTATTTTTAGAAAAGTGTGCACATGCAACAGATATTTTGGCTGAAACTCATACCATCATGCTGATTGTCAGCCATCTTCAGTAAGAGTCTGATGTCAATATTCTTCTCCAAGATGCTATTTCTTTGAGTTCTGGAATTATCGTCCCTTCCCTTTTCTGGATAAACAAGTCTTCGTTCCTATCTGTGAGCTTGGAAAATTCAATGTCCATCTTTAAAGAAAGAAAGAAATCAGAAACAAAGAAATATTAATATTACAATTATGACATAAATGTCTGTGTAAAGTTCTGTCTTAGTTGAGCATGTCTATTACCAAAGCTGGCATGTCAAGAAATCTGGGATAGTCCTTGAAGATTTCAGCAAGAGATTTTGAAGGGATTTTGTTGTTATCCATCTTCTTCTGTAACTGAAGGTTTGATTGATTGCAGTCTTTATTGATGATAAGTTGTCTGGTCGCATCTTCTTTATCAGAGACAACAACTCACTTGGTACGGTTTCATCTGGACTTGGTGAAGAAGGTTGCGGTGTACAATGATGATGTTTTAAACTGTACACCCACTGGCTCTGTTGAAGCTTCCGTCCGACTGTGTGATGGCCTAGCAAAATAAAAAAAATCCTCCTGACATTAGTAATGTAAAAACAGAACTAATGAAAGTCAAATAAATGAGCAACTTATATACACATTCCTAATAAATTCAGTTTATAATGTAAAAACATTCTTACATTCTCATGTCCCTCATTTTCACCAAAGGGCACCTAAGGGGAACAATGACAGAATCTCTTTTGCTAGTACCAGCTTTTCTATACCAGAAGGATAGCTAAAAAAGTAAAAAACAAATACAGTTGCATAAATTGCTTATACACAAACATTGACAAACAAAAAATTGACTAAACAGTGGTACTTCAGAATTGATTGGGATAAATTGTTAAATGTATTTATTTGAAATATTTTTTAAATGTAGAATTTATTTTATTATATAACTTATTTAAATAAATGTAATTTATTTAATTTGCAAATAAATACATCTTACATGAAATAAACAAACCACATACTCACAATCCATGTTTCTCTACAAGGACACTGACAGCAACTTTTTGACAGTCTTCATGTTCTCTCAGGATTGAAGAGGCTTTTCTTCAAGCAGCGTCAGCAAACTAGTTGTGTTGCCAGTCTGAGTTGAATCTGTTAAAGGACACTAAGAAATGCCAAAACATTTTATTTATTTAAATGTTTACGTTTATCTATAGTAATATAAAGGGAGAAATATAGTAATGTTTTACCTGTAATGAGTGCACACTTCTTTCTAATGAGTCCGGGGTGTTGCTTGCAATATAATATATTTGAAATTTGCCAAGCTCCTTTACTCCTGCATTTACATCAGTGTCAATGAACTTGAAAATCTGTCAAATTTCAATATTCAATCAAAAGATAGTTGAGACCTGTTTGACTAAGGCTATCAGATCTCCAACATTGCCATCTGTGAATAGTTTTCTCCATAATTATTTCCTTTCTGTCTATGAAGACAGTTGCAAGAAAGCGGTGTAATTTGTTCCTCGACTTCCATCTCCTAAGAGAGAAATTCATACAGCACAATGAGAAAACAAACACCTGTAACTGTGTATGACAATAAAAAGTACACTTTTAAATAGTATGCGACTAGTAGGGTACCACAAAATGGCGCGCAAAATTGAGTACATTAAATATCTTCATATTTTAGCTATTGTTTATGAATTTGCTCACACCTCGGCGCCATTTGGTGTTTGTACAAAGCACCCAACTAACGTTACGACAAGGGATTTATGTTTAAATTCCTGCCGCAGAGCTTCATATAAGGTTATATATTAAATAACCTTATGATAATAACGTAACGTTAAATGCATAAATTATATCTGGTAGCGTTACCTCGAGTGTCAGAGACGCAGAGGCTTTTTAAAGTGACGGCAACTCTTACACCAAAATGCAGTACATATTTAGGGTAAGTCTTTCGCCTTATATGTAACTTATTATTAACAATTCTGCCAAGTGCCAACGCAGCTTTACAAAAGACGCGCCAGATGCGTTAGCTTGCGCGGCTAAAGTTAATGTTACATGACAGAGTTGCCAAGTCCCGTGTATCAGGAGTACGAAACATGAAAACATAATAAAAGTAACAAAAATAACTTCTTGGACAACTAACACAAAACATTCTCACGCAGAGTGGAAGAAATATTTACTATCGTAGACGAATTTTAATGAATTTCACTCACCTGAGGCAGAGAGGTGCGTTATCCGATAGAGCTCTGAGAGAGCGTCAGTTGAAAAAGAACGTCACTGCGCATGCGCGTGCAGAAATTCACAGTATAAACCCCGAAATATAGAATTTTTAGCCACATACTCACAAATGCTTATTTTATATTACCATCATGATAAATAAACTACATAAACTCATAACACAGTGCCATTTGACTACAGGCAAAAATGCATTGTATTCCAACATACTGTTTAAATGTGTTTAACACAGTCATTGTGTAAACAGTTAAGCACAATATTAACACACAATGTGTCCGTAGTAACACAAAATGTGTTACGACCTGTTTAACACATATTTTGTGTAAATTTTTAACACATCACTTTTAAGAGTGTAGTCTAGAAGAAAATGTCTTCTATTTCAAAGTGTTTTTTTTTACTGCTGCTTAGTAACTAAATAAAACAGCACAAAATAATAATAAAAACAAACAATATTCCATTTCTCTTTAGACTTAAAAATATGTGGAACAAGTTATTGACATTTAAACATGAGTAATAATTTTACACTGAAAATAAATGACAGAACAATAAATAAATAAAAATAATAAATATAAAATAGTATTTGTCTAATGTAAATCTAAGCTACATATTACCGAAATATTTCTCTTTTAAAGAGAACAAATGTAGCCAAAGGCTGCTAAACCTTCTTTTCCTTTTCTATATTTTTTTCTCTTAGCAATTGAAATGTGGATATTCCATACAAAGTTTGAAGCTGACCAGTCAGTTCTTAATAGTGAATTTGGTTAATTGTTACATCTCAAAGGATGATCTGCGTGTTTGCCATGATGAAATCGTATTTCTTTATGTAATTTGAAGTCCAATGATTTGTAAAAGTGTTCATGTTTAAATTATAACTATGTAACTTTAAATTTGTTAATCCCTGACTTGTTTCCACTAAGTGTGACATTTCAATTCAATACAGTGCGGTAGGTACTTTCCACCGTCTGATTTGACTAGGGATGTCCCGATCAGGTTTTTTTGCCCTCGAGTCAGAGTCATTTGATTTTGAGAATCTACCGATGCCAAAACCTGATCCGATATTTCTATAATACATACAAAAAAGAATAAAGAAGAGCGAAGAAACAGATCCAGGATGTTCCTTATTTTTTACATTTAATTCACCTTATTTTAACATTCAACAACTCTGTTAACAAACAAAGCACTTCTGTAAGGTTGCTTGAACAATCAAGTAACAAATAACTTCACTTTTGGACTTTAGTGCAACAGTAAATCTAAAAAAGCAAACAAATAGCACCTCAACTTAAAATGCCCGGTAGACAATCCTAAGTTTACATATCTTACAGTTTGCTATGGCAATGTTGTGGCCATTAACTTTATAATACCTCCAGATGGCAGACATACTCGCGCTTTCCACTTCAAGCTGCTTCCATGTTCTACTTTTTCGGCATTTAACCAATAGTGTCTCTGCAACAAAGTGATGTCCTGCTGCATGTGTTGCTGCTTCTGTGTGAAGTCAAGGAAGAGGTCTAACTTTGTGCCACCGCATGTTGATGTGTTAAAAAAAATTATGAGAAAATATCTATAGATATATATTCGAGTCCTGATTGGGAGGTAACGTCTGGTTCCGATCGAGTCTGAAACTGTGTGATCGGATCTGAACAAACATCCATAGAAGTTATCAAAAATATTGTACCAAAACAATGAACTGTAGAAAGCCACTTTTTTGGATACCTTTCGTAAAAGAACTTAAAGAGTCGAACCAGACTCGCTTACAGCAGCATTTCTTAATCACGGGCTGTGTCTAAAATTGCCTCCTACTCAGTAAGTACTTCATTTAAATTTAAATCTACTACTTGACATTTAGAAAAGTATGTTTTATACCAGGGGTGTGCGAACTTGGTCCTGGAGGGCCGGTGTCCTGGAGAGTTTAGCTCCAACCCTAATCAAACACACCTGAAATGGCTAATCAAGCTCTTACTAGATATAGGCTGCGTCCGAAACCGCTTACTACTCATTAGGTACTGCATTTGAATTTAAACGTACTACTCGGCTGTTAGAAAAGTACGTTCTATACAGTATGAATGTAAAAAGTATGAATGAAGTTCAGACGTACTACATCCGCCATTTTGTCATAATCACGTGACCTACCTGCGTCAGTTGCATCGCCTCACTTCCATTCATGAATTTTCTCGCGGGACATTATGGGATAGCGCAGCGTGCATGGGATGCGCACTCCAGAATCTCGCCGGTAGTAGTAAGTCATCCGGGTACTTCTCGCATACTGATTTTCGAATTCTATGCATTCTGATGTACTACTCGGCTCGCATACTGATTTTAGCGTACTATATAGTATGGAAGTATGCGGTTTTGGATGCAGCCATACTAGAAACTTCCTGCAGGTGTGGTGAAACAAGTTGGAGCAAAACTCAGCAGGACACTGACCCTCCAGGACAGAGTATGGACACCCTTAATCTATACAGTATGACTGCGAGTAGTATGAATAGAACTCAGACGTGCTACATCGGCCATTTTGTCATGAACTCGTGGCTTACACGGTCAGTTGCGTTGCTTTACTTCCATTTATGAATTCAACTGCGTTGCATCTTTGGATACACGCCGGAAGTTTGAAAGAAGTAGGTAGTCCGGGTACTTCTCGCATACTGTTATTCGTATTCTTTGAATTCTGACATACTACTTAGCTCGCAAACAGTTTTTAGGGTACTATGGAAGTATGCAATTTCGGACACAGCTACGTGGGGCGTAAGGTCTAGCCTTATGCCCCATCGCTCTGCACATTTCATATGTTTTTTTAATTCAGACATGTGTTGTAATTCAACAATAAATGCCCTGCTACTGGACTCCACATGATATTCTGCCATGACTTCAGTTTGAAAGGATGCCATTGAGTGTTTAAATGTTTATATTGTAATTATTTACGAAGGTATATTATGTCACACTTTGCCTTTAGTAAGAAGACACTGCAGGCAATGCTGCGCTGTAAATGCTTAAAAAAGAGCACAGTTCATGGAGGGAGCTCTTCTAACGAGCTGGTTATCTAAATCAGGTGTGCTAAATAAGAGAGACATGTAAAACATGCTGATTGGTTGGCAATCCAGGAGGACCAGCAATACCCACATTCTCTATTCTTACATTAGTGCACTATTAATAAAGTCCACTTGTAGGAGTGAATAAAACCAGTGAGTGAATTAATACCGGAAGGGATGCTGCTTTGCTGGTCGATAAATCTAGAATGGGAACCGCTGCTTTACAGAGATTTGTCACTTGTAATGGTATGTGATGGTAACACACATTTGCTCCACAGTAATCTTTTAAGTAAGAAAATGGTTGCAGTTGTTCCTGTTTTACATGTACATAATATACTAATCATTGTCATTAAACTGGATAATAATAACTATTATCCCTTAAACCTACCCTAGAATCTAACCTGCCCCCTCTGAAGTTATTATATTATAACTCAGTACTTTTTTCATGTACAAGTATGCACTGTGTAACAAAGTCTTGCCAGAAATTGTGCATAGTTTTTGGGAGATCCACAATGGAAGATTCTACAGTGTCTTAGTACGTGCTTTTTTTCTTTCATTAACATGAATCTATAAATGGGTATCTATTAATAGAATCCAGTCCCTGTGTCTGAAAAGGCAAAAAGAGAGGATTTGTATCCTGCATGAAAGCTGTAATGTTGTGTGCTGCGTGTTTTCTAATTTGCTGGCCCATTCATAATTCCATAACATAATTATCAGCAACAGGATCTGCCTCTGTAAATGGTCTCTTTTTAGTGGATCATTTGAAGTACAGAAGCCTGTCTGTTTCCTCAACAGCAACCACAAACACATGAAGCATCCATTCCTGTCCCAAAATGCCTTCTTAAACCGGATGCTGTGTTTCTGCTGAACATTGGGGTTGTTCTGTTAACACGCGTTAAGTGCTTCGTCTCTCAGCAGCTCCGTCTGCACTTAGCAAGTCTAATTCTCAGCACAGCCAGGTTTGAAATCACTTAAGGCAGACGGGCATTTCTGTCGTCCATCATCATAAAGGCTGAATGGAGTCGACTGCCCAACTGACAGGGGAAAAGCACAACAGCTCAATCGTTCAGCAATCTTTTGCCCATTATTGAGCGCTTGTGCTTTATTTGAGGAAATACACAATGTGATTTTAATTGTTAATGATTCTGATGAGACGTTGTTGAGCGATGATCTAATCGGATGGGTGGAAGACTCCAGTTCTCTACGGAGAATGATGTTTCAGTGGTGTGTGTTTGCCACAGCTGTCCACTGGAGTGTGTTCATGCACATCCCACAGGATTGTAGGTGTGATAATGAACTGTGTTTTTTCATGTTTACAAGGCTCGAGATTGTATTCAGCTTATATACTGTGCATTATTGATTTTATTTCAGATAAAATCGGAGAGCTCCCTCATCCTCCATAAACAACAGTAGTAGTTACTCATTCAAAGTTCAAAAAAACAAAAAACAAAAAAAACAGAAAATGTTCTCAAAACAAATTAACGCCCTTTAAAGTGGTTAAATCAGGAAATTACCAAGATACGATAGAACTTTTCTGCACAGGTAAATCAAAAATAACTACAGTTTCATCAGTGTCAGCATAGGGTGCACTAGAGCTGATCGATTTTGGTAAAAATCATAATAACGATTATTTTGGTCATAATTGTAATCACGATTATTCAAAACGATTATCAGTTGAAGTCAAAATTATCAGCGCTCCTAAGAATTTTTTTCAAAATAAATACTTCCCAAATGATGTTTAACAGAGCAAGGAATTTCAACAGTATTTCCTCTAATATTTTTTCTTCTGGAGAGGTTTATTTGTTTTATTTTGGCTAGAATAAAAACAGGTTTAAATATTTTGAAACCTATTTTAAGGTCTATAACAGGGGTGGCCAACCCTGTTCCTGGAGAGCCACCTTCCTGCAGATTTTAGTTGCGACCCATATCAAACACACCTGAAACAAATTAATTAGGACCTGAACACCCCGTGATAATTACAGACAGGTGTGTTTGATATGGGTTGCAAGTAAAATCTGCAGGAAATTGGCTCTCCAGAAACAGGGTTGGCCACCCCTGGTCTATAATATTAGCTCCCTTAAGCAATATATTTTTTGATTGTCTGCAGAAGAAAGTACTGTTATACAATGAACTGCCTAATTACCCTTATTAAGCCTTTGAATCTTAATGTTTGTATTTTGAAAAATATCTAGTAAAATTTTGTGTGCTGTCAATGAGTTAATAAAATTATTATGTTCAGAAATTTTCTTTCCATTAAACAGAAATTGGGGAGGAAAAGGGTTGCTAATATTCAGGAGGGCTAATAATTCTGACTTTAACTGCATATATAGTTATTTTCTACTCTGCAAAGGAAAGAGAAATCAATACAATAGAATAAAAATATGAAACAAACTGTGCTTTGAGCATCTTCATTGTAACAAAAACACTTTAGCTACAAAAGTCCCGACCAGTGAGGAATTTTCTCTTTTTTTTTATTAATGATAAAAACAGGCGGCAGCAGGAATTGCGCGCTGTCACTTTAATGGTTTCTCTTTTACATGTCTTTTGATTCTCAACTCGTTTGTTTATTTTACAAATGAGGGTTAATATGAAAAATCACTAAACAGCACGTTTTGACACCTGTTTGACCATTAAAAGCGCTCGAGTTAAGATGAGATGTGTGCGCTCTGCTCCTCAGTGTGCGAATGCTGACCGCATGCTTTTGACTGTGTGTGCGCGCCGCACACACACACACAGAAGCATGCGGTCTTTCGCGCTTTTAAGAGCAACACGTGTACAACTGGAAAGGGGTGGTATATGATCCAATAATCTTTTATCTCGATTAAGGGTTTCATAATCGTTAGAAGCCAAAATCGAAATCGGATTTTCGATTAATTGCACAGCCCTAGGGTGCACATTCATGAGAGTGATGTGCTCTTCATATCTGTTGAGCTCTGTTTCGCTACTAACACATTACCTTAGATGTACCTGTGCTTTGTTTCAAACAGCGGAAGTTACACACAGGCATCTGGGCTATAGATTACTGCACAGCACTCGTGAATGTATACTTTTTTTTTTTTTTTTTACAGACACTAAAGTAATTGTTGAATATTAAGTTGATATTTTTGTTTTATGTGAACACAAATGCATTGTCTTAGCTTATTATTCAGATAAAACTACTAAAGACACAGATTGTGTTGACTCTGTTTTTCTGGACTTTAAACGAGTCAGGGCTGACCTTGTCACCATACTTGAATATCGGTAACAATTGACACTGAAATGGCCAATCAACTGTGTATAAGAACGCACACAACAATGCTCGAATGTTATCTGTAAATTAGAGATGCACGATATATTGGCGACCATATGTTATCGGCCGATAAATGCTATTTTTAATATTATCGTCATCGATCCGACGTCATAATTAGGCCGATATCTTGAAGCCGATAAATTACGTAATTGTACAGAACTGCTTGCCTCGCGCATGCATGGACGGAACTTGTTCAGACTTGTCCTGTGCACTATAATGGAGCCCTCCTCACATTGTTTATTCCTTCAAAGTCTGTCCTTTCTTTATTGGGTATTGCTGTGCGTTAATAGCTTAGCAAGTAACCATGTTCCTTATCATTGTAGATATATTTGGTTGAGTGCCATTGTGTATTTTTGCTTTAAATCGCCTCAGGAAAAATATTACATGTGTAAACATAACAGCAGAGATGCACACGTGCTAAACAACTCATTGGGTTGTTTGTAATCTAATATGATTATTTGTTATTATCAACGCATTGCTTGCCATGTGTTGTTGATGTAAGATTGTATTAAGTTTGATCGGAATATTCATAGTGATTATAATGAGCGCTACACACACACACACACACACACACACACACACACACACACACAGATGTTATGTTTTGTTAGTATTTATGTGTATTCTTTTTGAAACATTGATAAATTGTCATTCATGACAAGCACCACATGCCTCATTGCTCAGCACAAAGAAATCAGATTTGAATTAAGCAGTTGATAAAGTGCACTGTAAACGTTCGAATCACACCAGTGTGATTGTATGCTTCAGGGACAAGCCTAGTCTGACCACATACAATTGAAGGGGTTAAGCAGAATATCACAGAAATGCCAGTATGTGAGTGCGATCACAATGCAATATTGGTTTTATACAATGATAACATATTGTATGCAATTTTTTCTGTTTTACTATTAGAATCTATTTAAAACAAATCCTGGGCAGCTGTTTCATTGGCCATAAAAGAGACAAAGCAAAGAAAGCGTCATCAATATTTATTTGACTAATTGCATTTATTTATTAAGGATTATTTATTATTTCAGCCAATATACAGTAAACATCTAATGGAAGTCGGATCTTGTGACAGCTATAGTGTATAACTTCATTTAAAGGGCAGAAGTGATCTAAAAAAAGAATAAAAATCTTCTTTTATATTTTAGTAGAAAGGGGGTCATAAAGGAATTTTTAATTTTGGATAAATAATACATGAGCATCTCTAAAAATGCATTAGATCGAAATCTGTCAGTATCTGGTAACTTTATTTGTGAAACTAAGATACACACTCTGTGCTTGTGGTTTCCTCATTTCTTTTTTTTTCTCACCTTTGATCTGTGCCATGAGACAAGTGTGTTATATTGCTTGTATAATGGCCAATTAAACCCTTGCTAAGAGCGGTTTAGCTTCCTTGCGTAATTGGTGAACTCTAACTTGTTTACATTTTCTCTGAACCTGTCCCTTCAGGTGTGTGCTGTGTTTTGACTGCTGTAGTAATGTTGTGTCTGTCATACACAGGCTAACGGGACCTTCAGGCTACCTCTCTGATGGACCAGGAAACTACAAATACAAGACCAAGTGCACGTGGCTCATTGAGGGACAGTGAGTATTCAAAACAAACAAACAAAAAAACTTTCTTAGATTAGATATCTGTACATTTAAAGTAGGGCTGGGCCATATTTAAAAAATGCAGTCTCGATAATTATTTTCCATAATGAACGATAACTATATATTAGAGATGCACCAATACCAGTATCGGGTATTGGGTCGATACTTGTTTAAAATACTCATACTCCTATCATACATGAAAGGCCGATACCACTCGACAGTAATTCACTACATGGATGTGATTTGTTGTCCTTCCTGACTTCAATGTCTTAATGTATTAATTTGCCTTTTGCATTATATATTAATATCTTAGTCCTTGTGAACAACTTGTTTATAAAATACATTATTAATGAATCTATAGGCTGTTGAAGAACAAACCGAATACGAAATATGATCCTTGCATAATGATCAAAGCTAAACAAGCTAGCACTCAAATTATTTATTAACTATAAATAAAAAAATGAAAGAAATTTTAAGCAATGGAACATTATGTAAAAAATTTAAAGACTATAGGCTAAATAAAAGCGCCTAGTCAGAGCTGAACATTACTGCGGTCACCATGCGTGTGTCAGTTTACAGCTTCTGTAAAGATCAGGCAGCCTATACAGATCACACAATCTCAATAAACACCATGTAAATGTATAAATATTTCGATAAGTATCGTTAATGGAATATTTATAACCATATGATCTTGCTTTTGGTTATATCGATACCAGTTTTGAACTCTCACATGTGCTCTTTCTTTCACCAGCAGTTGACACGTGCTGCATATTTGGCAAGATGACTAGTGCTGAACTCCACAGGACCATTTTTATTTGTTTGCCGATTTGCGTGTTGTTTCTTTTTTAAAATGCCTTTTTTTTCTTTAATCTCTCAAGTTAATATTGGCTATCGGGTAACATAATCTCCTTCAGAGATATTCGATGTCAGTAGCCCCTTTCACACAGTGATACCGGTAAATATCCGGAAAATTTCCGGAACGACTTTACCGGTATATTCAAAAAAGCGCTGTTCACACAGGCTAGGACGTTACGGAATTTTCCCAGAAAAGAATGTTCACACATCCATTCCAAAATACCAGTAAATTCTGACATCATTCACCAAAAATGAGCCTTAAATTAGTATGTATTAGCATATATGTAGTATGTACAAGCGCCTTAAATGAGCGCTTGTATTAGTAAACATTTGACTACATTACAAACTCTGTGGATGATCAGTATTGTGAACAACTTCGATGAAAACATATGGAGGATCACTTTCGCATGTCGAGATGTTCATAATATGTGCGTGTGCTGGCGCTTACTGGCTGTTTCACATACACACGCAAAGCTTGAAGGTAATCAAACAGCGGCTTATCATAAGCATCTTATCGATGATTATTTACAAAGTTGGCATAAAGAAGAACATATAAACATTATCTGACTAACTTCTAGCAGCTAAATGCGTCTGGGAAAATATTCAAAGGCTTTTATTCTCATGAACCGTGCAGACGTAAACGCGTCTGACTGTTCTGATTGGCTAAAGCAGACGTCTCACGTCAGCACGTTCTAGACGTGCACGCGCTTTTTCCGGCATTCTTTTTCGTTCTGCATTCACACAGCGCAGCATTCCGGCAAATTACCGGTAATGTTACAACTTCTCTTTCCGGTAAATAGCCAGAACGAATTTACCGGTATTTTCAAAAAGGACCTGTTCACACATACAACCTTTCCGGAAAATTGCCTTTAATTTTCCGGAAAGGTCTGTATTTGTGAAAGGGGCTAATAACGCTGTGCGCAGTATGGCTATTGACCAACACCTCCCTGTAAGTTTACACACTGCATAGACTATCTAGGCCTACAGCTCTGGTGTGTTATGTATTGCCTGTTTTAAATGACAGCAAGACATGCTACGTTTAGTTTTTATTGTAAAATGTACATTATAACCCAGTAGACATTAAAATATTATTTTTTGAATGGCTTACCTATTGGCAGCGGATATAACCGTTAAGCTTAAATAGGCTAAGCATATTTTTATTAATATTAGAACATATTACAATACAAACTAGCCACCCTTTGGTTTTTTCCGTTTATGTATATTTTTTCTATCAAACGAAAAATGCAATGACTTTATGAATTTATTTTGGTTTTCATTTTATTAGAATTTTATTAGCCTACACAACATCTACATAACATTGGCTCTGATTGCATTTTTACAGATATCTTACAGATAGACTTTTTGGTTCAAAGACATTTATGCCTGTTAATTTCAGTGCTGTATTTTGACATATTATGCAAAGGCCTCAGCTGTTCTAACTGTCAGCTGTTACCAGCCTCAGTTTTGCGACTTGTCGTATGGCGTCTATGTATCGATGTCTGGATGACAGACAGAGAGAGAGAAGATCAGACCTCAGATTTGATGTCTGGCCGCACGTCACAGTTACTTTACTGCAATTTTTTTTTATATTGGCTCATCTAAATTAACTTTTTATTCGATTAAAAGCAGAAATATTGCCAGACAGATAAAGCAACTTTCGGTTTTGGAAGAAAGCGGCTTCAGTGATAAAAGACGCACACACACATAAGATACACTCGTAGGCCTATTCATTATTGATTTTTTAACATTAATAACCAAGTGCAAAAAAGAACAGCTGAACGTTGGAAAAAGAGCTCTCTGCGGTTGCCGTGATGGTTGTTTTGCTTCTCTGCAATTGGCTTGTCAGTGGCTAAATCACTTTTGTTTTAATAAAAAATATTATTATTTTTTTTTTAAACATTGTGAGATGATGGTCGCGTGATTTTTAAAATGAGAGTATGCATTGCGTATTTATGGCTATTGATCTTATCTACCCGCAACCCACCCATAGTAAACATCAAGTAGCCTACTTTTTGATTACCTGAGCAGCAGATATAAGTTGTTAATGCTTCCAGACTTAAAAGACTACCCCAACAATGACTGAAGCCACAAAAATTAAAGGGTCAATTAAATAGGGCAACATATTTTCGTCCAATACATTTTCAATGGGTGAAGATTCGATACTTCTCTAATATCAACACACTTTTAAGTTCCCATTTTTGCACATTTCTGCTCTGTGACTGGCTTTTAGAACAATACAGAGTAAACAAATTCAGAGCTTATCATTGTTATTGACATAAAATTTTATTGCAATTCAATATAATATTGTTTTTTCGGCCCTGTCCTAATTGTTACTTTTTAAACTATTTAAAGGAATAGATCTTTAAAAAGTAAAAATATGCTATGCACCCCCCCCCCCCCCTCAGTACTGTAACTATTCAGTAGAATTTAAGTGATTCATAAAATACAACTTTAATTTTACAAGTAAAACAAAAACAACTAAATTAATGCAAATGGCTCCATTAGCAGAACATTGAGTTTTTAAAAAGAGAACTGATTCATTTGTTTTCACTTCTTGAAAGTACTTGAGTTTTTAAACATTTGGACTCAGGACCTGGAGAGTCTTAAAAACAAACATAGGTCAAGGAAGTACATTTTAAATTAAATTAGGGTGCTTTCATACCTGTAGATCGATTATTTTGTTCTTAAACAGGGATTATTCTTTTTACCATGTTTATTTTGTTCTTGGTTCGGTTCGCTTTCACACGGCAAAGTTTCTAAACGGACCAAAATAGTTCCAACAAGCCACATGCAAGTAAACCCTCTTCACAACGGTCAGAGTTGCACACTTTATGTTATAGAGTCCCATGCATTCTACTCAACTATCAAACATTATTATTTTAATTTATGATGATGAGAAATGAGATATTATATGCAAAAAGATGCACTTCAATTGTGCATTGTGACACCCACAGACATCGTCAACAAATATAAATCAGTGTTAAGACTTTCTCATACATACACAGCCTTTCTTAAGTTGTCAAGGATTGTACAAATTGATCTATTGAATCAATCTATCTATTGCCCATCTTTTTTGTAACATTTAATTAGTTATTTTAAAAGAACAATACGACATTTGATAATGTTTCAGCTTAAAAAGAATTATGCATTATAGGCTTTCATTATAGAGAGAAATAACAGGTGAAGTAAGTCTGCAGTCAGATCATGATGCAGATTAATGTTGATCTTTCTTTTAAGGTGCCAGTGCAGAAGTTAACAAAACAATAGGTCTACAAATTCTAAAAAGTCTAAAATATGGAAAAAAATATCGGATGGAAATTTCTGTAAATTTCCAGATTAATTAAAAGCTCTTGTTAAAATTTCAGCAAGCTTTCACTTTCATCTTCGACATAAAACACACATTTACTGGTAGGAATGAGATCTCGTCCTACGCACAATTTTCTCTTTATATAGCCGTATATATATATATATAAATATATATCTCTTCAACTTGGATTTATAAGCTTTTATCTGAGTTCTGAATGATTTTGAGATATTGAGCGTCAAAGTTTTTGCATTCCATACAGCAAACAGTTTGTGTGTAACATTTGTTTTTTTTTTAAATAAAAAGTCTTAATGTAAACAATTTATAAAGAAAGAAACATAATGTAAATAAATGGTCATTTATATGAATATGTCAGTAACTCAATTTTGACAAAAAATGTCAGATAGAACCTTATAATTCTAAGGTGATGATATGTATATTTATATAGCTTGGTTCGTTAGTTCGTTGGGTTGACTAGTTTTTTCACTACAATCGATCTGCCCAAGAGTTCATTTCAATCGAGCCGAGATCACCTCATTCAGGCTGTCTCAGACCTATTGTTTTGGCACAGAACATAGTGAGATAATGGGGTAAACACACCAGTTTCGGAAACAAACGTCTAGTTGTGAAAGCACCATTAGTTTATCAATAGTACTAAATAGAAAAAAAAAAAACTATAAAAAATTATTTATTTAAAAATCTGAAATTTAAATCTTGTACAAGAGAACTATGATGGACATCACCAGTAGCCTATTGTATTTATCAAATTAAATTTCTTTGAACTTAACATGTTCATAACATCATCATTACTCCGAAATTTAAATATTACGTGTAAGTGAACTTAAGTTCATGAAAGAGTGGGAACTCTGTCTTTTCAACATTATTACTTTATTTCAACAATCTCTTCTGAAAACATTCACAAGTACTGTACCTCCTGTCACATACTGACATGAATTTAAACATCACACTTTAGCCAATGCTGTTTGTTTACAACCTTTTTGTAGTTGCAGCATCCAGACTAAACGCATGCAAATACTATTTTGATGAACAATACAGCAGTCATGTCCTCCTTATTATTGTCAGCAAATAGCATCAGGACTGCAGTTTTAACTAAGCAAATATGTTTTAATGTTTAACTGCATTAAAAAATAATAAAACAAAGTAAAAAATAAATAAATAAAATCACCTGTTTAGATAGCGATACGTGAGTATATTATCATAGGTTTCTTTAGTTTTTGGATGGACTTTTCCTTTAAGCCTGAACCTGACCTCTTAATTTGAATTTGTAACCCAATGTGACCTGACCACTATTGTAATGCGTTTATGGTCTGATGCAAAATCGATAGCTTTCTTGCACTCCACCCAAGAAACCAATAAAATGTCTTTTGTTTATTGACATAGTATTAAAACAATTGTTTTATCGACTTCTAAAGGCAGATTTGAATCTTATCTCATAATCTTATCTTTTTTTTTTTTTTTTTCTTAATGTAGGGCTGCATTTTTCAGTAATGTGCAAAACATTTTTTTGAAAGTAAAATAATGTGATTTATTGCCAGTTGAGATCCTGCCTTGGAAAAAAAATTGACTGTCAATCTCTTAAAATATTTAAACAATTGTTTTATTCATTATAAACTGTGTTTTCTTTGTTTTTCCACTGAAATGGTCATTTTTTTGTTTATCACAAATTGATCTGAAAAATGACATATAGGGCCCTATCATACACCCGGCGCAGTGTGGCGCAAGGCGTGACGCAGTAGTCTTTTGGTAGTTTAAGCTTGGCGCAAGAGTCGTTTTGAGGCGTTGCGCTACGCTATTTAAATAGCAAATGCATTAGCGCTCATTTTTGCGCCCATAGGCGTTCTGGTCTAAAAAGGAAGGCGTTCTGAGGCGGACCGCTGGCGCGTTGTTATTTTGAGAAACTATAATAGATTTTTCATTAGACCAAAACTAACCTGGTCTAAACTCCTGCGCAGAGTTGCGCCTCGCTTACGCGCTGCTTAATACGAGAGCAATAGGCAAATATCTTTACATATGAAAAAATGTAAATATTAAGGATATATATAGGATATAATAAGAATAGATAGAGGATATAAATATAAAGGATTAAAATATTACAAAACATATTATTTTCTAGCCTACATAAATATGAAAAACCACTGCTTTTATGTCTTCTTCTTCTCAGGAGGCTTTTTCAGTTCATTCATAACAATTTGTTTTTGTATAATGTTATTATTATTAGCAGTATTATTTATTATATCCATATTTATATTTGTTTTATTAAAAACAAGCTTAGATTTGCCCACCTGTCAGGTTTTAGACCATATGGGGCATTACATGTGTTTTAGGATATAACTCAGGTTTTTGAGCACATTTTGTTATTATTATTCATTTATTCGTTTGCTGGAAATTAGAACTGAATTTAGAAATAGTTTTGAAACAAATATTTGTGCTTAACAAACAAAAGTATTTATTTATAGACTAATTGATGTCTGTGCGTAAAGGTTTCCCTATCCAAGAGCGAAAGTGAAAGTGATCCATTATCTCTCATTCTCACGCAGTACATGCTCTGTTTAATAGTTTTCTGTTAAAAAACTGTTAACTGTTAATTGTTTGCTTGTGAAATGCTCATTTTTTCCTGCTTAGACTTACTTTGCGTCCTGTAAATAGTGAATGTGCTCTTGGCGCGACGCAGCTGACTCTTAAAGGTAATGGGAGATGAGACTCTAATTGGTTTATTCTAAAAACACACCTATAACTCATTAAGAAAATAAACTCAGCCCTTTTAGACCCTGCGCAGAAGCGCAGGGCAGATTTCCCATCCTTAAATTAGCAAAAACGCGTCCTGACACGCCCTGAAAGCATTTGCGCCCTGCGGTTTGCGCTTTGCGCATGGACGGTCAAAATAGAGCCCATAATGTGTTTTAAATGTATTTAATAATTTATTCTGTCTGATTTAAAAATAAAGTTATCATATCATTTTTTTAATCTGTATGGATCTTTAAATATACATACAAAAACTTTAGAGTTGTAGTTGTAAACTGAAGGTTGTCGTTTTGTCATAACTGTTTGTGTTGCTTGTCAGTGAACAAAGGCTGTGTGTAGTAAATAGTGCTACATCTGATTTATTATTATTATTATTATTATTATTATTATTATTATTATTATTATTTTGTTTAATAACATGTAATTGCTCCAAGCTTACTTCATACCTATAGGCGAATGCTTAAAATAAATAATTCTGTGATGTGATTACAAAGTCATTTAACTATTAGTTTCTGTGCAAGAGCGCCCTCTGGCTATTGCAGGACATTTACAATTGATCAAAGAACTGTGCTTCCATGAAAAGATGTGCAAGATGTAATTTCTTACCCTGTCACATTTAACCCATTTGTTTTGCAAACTGGCTAATTTACCTCTTATTTTGGTCATGTGTTGGGGAAAGTTACATTCGAAAGTAATGCATTACAATATTGAGTTAGTCCCCAAAAAAGTACAGTGACTAGTTGCGTTAGTTACTTTTTATGGAAAGTAATGTTTTGTTACTTTTGGGTTACTTTTGCATTTATTTATTATTCAAGTAGAGGAGCTCTGCATTTAACAGCACACGGTATTATCTTTATTTACCTTTGAAAAACACATCAAATGATAATAATGTAGGATAATGTTATTTTCTGAGAACTTCCTGAGCCCAGAGCTCTACATGCCATATATAAAGATTAATGACAGTTTAAAGCAATGTGTTTGATGCTTTTGTACTTTTGTCTTATTAGTGAAGTAAAATGAGCATTGACAGAATCCCTTTTTACTTTTTTCCATGCATTATGAATAATGAAAATACTTCCAGTTCACAAACGTAAGGCTCTGCCATCTTAGTTTCTGTTTGTATCTGCAGGGAGAAAATTCTCACATTGAGTACGGGATTCAACTTTCATTTTAATTCAGCAATTTATTTTTTAAATCAAATTAATTAAACTTTAAAATAGCTTGCATTACATTTTTAAAAAAGTAACTTAACTATTACTACTTAAATTTAAAAGTAATCCGTTACTTGTTAATTAGAAAAGTAATATTATTACGCAACCTTCGTTACTTGCTATGCCTTACCCCCAACACTGGTCGTATGTAATGTGCATTTATATAGTGCATTTATTGTGTTTGGCCATACACCCAAAGCCATATGAAATGGCCACATGAATCAGTCAGACAGAATGTTTGGAAACGTGCATTGCACATCTTTGGCTGTGTCAGAAATCGCATACCTCCCTACTATATAGTATGTGGGAAAAAGTATGCAAACCAAGTAGTATGTTCAAATTCATTGTATTTAAAATACAGTATGTGAGAAGTACCCAGATGACCTACTACTTCTGGCTACTTTCTGAAGTGCACATCCAATGGACGCTATGCTATCCCATGATGAGGTCACATGATAATGACCAATGGCAGATGTAGTACATCTGAATTTCGTTCATACTACACTCATTCATACTATATAGAACAAACCTATGTAATGGTCATGTTGTAAATTTAAACGTAGGACCTACTTGAGTGTTTCAGGCGCAGTTTTTTTTTTTTTTTTTGGTTGAATTTAAAATTCTAAATGCTCTAAAGTTTGGTTTGCTGATTTCTAATTCTATTGGACAATAGATAGGAAAAACTCAAAAGATATTTTTGGCTCTGAGTTGACTTTTTACATTTTTAAAACTTTTTTAAGACTTTTTTCGGTTCTGGAAAATTATGAGGTGCCCAGGATACATAACCAATGATCAAAACGCTCACTATCTATAAAAAAACAAGTTAAAAGAGCGCCTCTTATTGCAACGCGTCTCTTGTGTAATGGGTGACTAACCATGAATGCCCTGGGTTTACTCGCATGGCTCGATTAAACACATTTTGGTGAACTTTGTAATGCTGAATTCGAACCAAGAAAAAACTTGCAACATTGTGAATTAACTTCCTCATTGTCAGTTTGATTTCCTGTTTGGAAAAGCAAATAGTTTGACATCTGAAAACCATTTAGTTAGGTCTTTTAAATGACCTCTTTATTGATTTTTTTTTTTTTTTTTTTTGGTTGGTGATGTAGTGGTTGATGGCTTTACTTCTTTCGACAGGCCAAACTCAATCCTGAGGCTTCGCTTTGAGCATTTTGCCACCGAGTGCAGCTGGGATCATCTGTATGTGTATGATGGAGACTCCATCTACTCCCCTTTACTCGCCGCCTTCAGGTATTCTCTTCGTGTGTGTGTGTGTGTGTGTGTGTGTGTGTGTGTGTGTGTGTGTGTGTGTGTGTGTGTGTGTGTGTGTGTGTGTGTGTGTGTGTGTGTTGTAAACGGGAGCAGTGAGATCTCCAGGTAATGACCTGTTAATCCAGGATCAGATTAGAATGTGGGACGTTTTGCAGTGTTGTGTGCTTAACACACCAGACACTGTTTTATAAACAAGTATTCTGTCTGAATGTCACCGGAGAAATGTACCTAATTTTAGGTTGAAATATCAATCAATTATTTGCTGATACACATATTTCTCATACTTGATTTCTCATCTGAGTGTGTCAATTTACCATGGCAGCCAGCAATAATTGGAAAACTCTTTTGACCACAATGTCCAACTGAGTTTTAAAACACATTTGTAGCCAATCAGCAGTAAGCGGTGTGCAGTAACTATGGTTATGATATCAAAACAACGTCTTGCAAAATTTGCTTAGTGCTCCATCCGTAGGACATAATAAATTCAAATGTAAAATTTGAAGCCCTTCCCCTTGACACTGTTTCAAGGGCCGAGGGGAAAGGTCCCTAGGGTGTGTATGTGCCAAAATACCAAACAAATAATGTTTTAAAAATCTTTGAAACTCCCCTTTTTGGCCTTTGATCTAGATTGTGCTGTTTGATGACTGCTTCTTTAAATTCAAATGAGATTGTGCTTGAAAGAGGGTAGAGCTACAAACGCCTATGTGGCAGCATAGTGGCAGAGTCAAAATAGGACATTATCTCTGTAAAAAAAAACTGAAAATGTCAAAAGAAATGGCTCAGAAGAAGGCAGTCTATGGGGACTAAGGTGTTCATGTATGCATCCTAAAACTTTACATTCATAATCTTCATGTCAGATAACCTCTGACATTATCTTTAGCAGGTCAAAACTAATGGTGTAGGGCTGCTTCTCACTCAGGGCTGTTTATGCTATAGATCGTCACTAATCTGTGGGACTTTGGGAGAATGTCAATCAAAGTGTTTCTGCAGACTGTTTTTATCAAGTGTGATCATAAAAAAATTTAATCAAATAATGTTTACCCTTTAAGACTGACTATTCAGAGACTGTTGCCACACAACTGTGTTTATAAAACTTTATAATCCACTATAAAAGTGATTTTTGCTTTTTGGGTCCCCTTTAATGTTTCAATGTTCCCTCAGCACTAATGCATAGATTTTTGTTGAAAAGAAACAACAAACATACAATGACTTGTACTTGTTTATTAAAAATTATAAAATGAGTAAGAGGACATAGTAAATTATATTGTATTTAAATTGCTTAAAGTTTGTGCTGACACATGAGTAAAAGATTTATAATATAAAGATTTATTATGATAATTCATTAGTATTTTGTGGCTGCATTGTAATCAGATTTTAGGGCATACTCACACTACAGTTGCTTTGAACCGGGCGCTTGTCCCTCTCCCGTCTCCCCCACTGCCTGCACTCACATTACATTTGGGCCTGTGCACGCTTACGCCATCGATGCTGCTCTGATCAGTGTTCAATAGAGAAGCGCTCTTGCTCAGCACAGTGGAGATTTTTTTTAGTTATATTGTTTTAGTCGTTTGGGATGCAGTGACACACAGTCAAATCTTTCGCCAAACAGATTCGCCACTTTTGACGCTCATAAACAGTCATAAAGTCCTCGTTCTGCAGGAATTAGGAGGTTTGCTGAAGGCACAGCTGTGGCACAGTGAGGAGTTTGCGTCTTTAATAAAATATGACAGTTTATGTTAATTGAATGGTAAGAATGATTAATAAATCCATATGAAACTGTTCCTTTAAAGTCACGTCTCACTTTTAGTTTTGGGCTTAGGCGCGTTATGCACACACAAGCGTATCGCGCCAAAGCCCAAGTGAACCGCGCTCTGGCACACCTTTTCCAACACGGCTAGGGCCGGCCAAGTGAACCATGCCGGACCCGATTCAGCGCACTCACACTTCTCAAACGATCCGGGAAACGGGCTTGGGCATGGTTCGGAAAGCATAGGCCCTTAGTATGTCATCAAATGATTCACGTTCATATGTATGGCAAAATATGTATAATTGAATTCAGAATTATTAGCCCCCCTGTTTAATTTTTTTCCCCCACAATTTCTATTTAATTTATTTAACACATTTCTAAACATAATACTTTTAATAACTCAATTCTAATAACTGATTTATTTTATTTTTGTCATGATGACAGTACATACTATTTTGCATATACACATATACAGTTTATATTGACATTTAAAGTCTTAACTAGGTTAATTAGATTACCTAGGCAGGTTAGGGCAATTAGGCAAGTTATTTTATAAGGATGGTTTTTTCTGTAGACTATCAAAAAATATATTATATACATGGTCAAAATTATAAGCCCCTTTAAGCTATATAATATAGCTTAAAGGGGCTTATAATTTTGACCTTAAGATGGTTTTAGGGGTGTCAAATCGAAATCGATCGAAATTTATGCTCAATTTCGATTATTGAATCAAAAAATAGAATCGTCGATGCTGCCACGGCCCCATGTCACGTCAGCTTGGCTTGCCAAGTGGGAAAAAAACAGGCTTGTTGAAGTGCTCGTTAAACTGCAGAAGCAGGAGACCCGTCGACAGAGCTTAAACCCTCTCCTCTTTCAATGAAGTCGCCGGTGTGTAAGCATTTTGGATTTACAGTGAGTTATGTTGACAACGTTCGTGTTGTCGACAAAAAACACAGTTTTGCAAGCTCTGCTATGTACGTATTACGTACGGTTCGTCCGATAGACAACACCGGCATCTCGATCCTCCGCCCGCCCCCGTTGCAAATCCGCTCGTGAAAAGTACACACTTAGGCCCTGTTTACACTGTCTTTGTTTTTAAATGGCATTTTAGAACGACAGCGATTTGACATCCACAGTGGCGTGTAGCGTTTCTAAACAGCCCTCCTTCCTCTCTACCTCTGAAAATGCACATCACGTGACCACACAGACACAGACGCACACACAGCCATATGAGCTTGAGACAGCAGGTCCAGGCAGTCAGAGGACTGCTTCAATCTTTCACTCACTTGTACTTTGTCATTTTAGCGAACACTTCAGATACTGTTGGCTGGTTCCTGTTGGTTGTGCATCGTTTTTACCGACACCATTATAACGATACAGATCACTGCCTATTCACGAGTCCCGCAGAAAAAGTGATTGACAGGTGATAATTATGTGTGTATCTTGCCTTTATTCATTTACTGTATGATTTGTTTATGGGTAAAACAAAGACCATGCAGGTCAGGTAGTTAAAACGGTAAGCTACAAATAATTAATTGGTCATTAATTAATTATTCATGATTGAAAATCGAATCGAATCGTGCCTTTAGAATTGAAAATGTAATAGAATCGAGGATTTGGAGGATCGTGACGCCCTTAGATGGTTTTTAAACAGTTTAAAACTGCTTTTATTCTAGCTGAAATGACACGAATAAGAATTTCTCCAGAAGAAAAAAAATATTATCAAACATACTGTGAAACTTTCCTTGCTCTGTTAAACATAATTTGGGAAATATTTAAAAAAGAATCCAAAGGGGGGCCAATAATTCTGACTTCAACTATATGTATTTCTTTGTATGTTATATAGGTTATTGTTACAATGAATTACATGTTCATGTATGTATAGCTTTGTCGATCTTCAGAGGTGTGAAGTGTTTGAAAATCTCTTGTCTTTCATGTTCCAGTGGTTTGATTGTTCCTGAGAGCTACAGCAATGAGACCGTTCCAGAGGTGGTGGCTCATTCTGGCTTCACCCTGCTGCACTTCTTCAGTGACGCTGCCTATAATCTCACCGGGTTCAACATTTCCTACAGGTCAGTTCAATTCCTGCACCAAAACAAACTCCTGCTTATTTATGCTGCACATTTGCATGGTGTCTTCAAGGCATTATGGGTATGTTTCCATCATAAAGACTGTTTCAGAAGGTAGACACTAACTGCTGCAAGCTCTATTATACATTACCTTGTTTTTGTCTTTAGTGTAAAGCAGTATTAAACATAGACAGTGGCAGATGGATTGATATGTTCACTTTAAAGTCATTTGTGTTGATCAAAAATGAACAATTTTTGTGTTTTTTAACTTTACAATCGTACCACTATTTAGGCAATGTCCACACAAACAATGTTGTTTTTGTTCTTCTTCTTTTCGTCCACATGAACATGCAAAAACACAGTTAAGGTCAAGCTGAACCCACAGCTGGTGATAAAATCCTTTTATGGTGGATTGACACCAAACGTGGAATTAAGTAATTATAGAAAGTAAATTGCTTACAATGTCAATGCAAACACATGAGCAGAGATGAATTGCTGATGCGTGGCCTGAATGATTGCAGAATGCATGATGCATTTGCCACTAATTAGTGGAATTCAGCTCTATTGCATCTTCTGTGTTTGGTGTGAACTTAGCGTGAATAAAGCCAATCAAAATAGGGAAAACAGCTAGCACGCTAATGCCATGAGGCAAAAACTATGGTTTTACTGTCCACATGATCGCACTATAACTTGTGTTTTTGAAAATCTTTACCCTTGTTGGAGTCTTGAGAAAGTTATGGTTTCAGTCACCTGATACTGCATCTGTAAAGAATATTTCTGTGGACAAATGGCCAACAGTGTAGAAATAAAGCTGTAGACAGGCCCTTAACATGGCTTCTTGCTAAAAGATTAAACATTTGGTAAATTATTTCTAAAAACAAATGAATGCAAGCTTAATTCACTTCTTTTAAAACAAAAACTAAAAAAATCATTTTTGAATGTTAGTCTACTCCGTCACTTATTAGTTTCCATTTATTTATTTGGAGAGCAAGTACGCACACCTAGAAAGAAATGCTGGCATTGAGTCATGATTTAGAATCATAAACATTTTTTAAATATTTTTTTTTATCTGTATATTTAGATGTAACACCTGAATAGACATGGGCCGGTATAAGATTCTGACGGGATGATAATCTTGGTTTCACGGTATCGAGATGACTGCTTTAAATTTTGTCCTTTTGTAAATGTCTGGGTAAAAAAACAAAAACTTTTTTCCCATTTAAACACAATATATTTTATGTTAAGAAACATTTTTTAATATTTTGTAGCAGTAAACATGTCAGGCTAAGTAATTCAAAATAATCATTGACTTCTGCTGTCTTCAATAGTTTAAAAAATACACAAATTTCTTTACAATTTAAAATGCTGCCTTTAGATATTTTCTGCTGGAGATACTGTTGTCTTAAAGTAAATAAAAAATCTTACACATACCATAGGAACTGTATAGCAGAAAATTTTAAAACCTTGTTTTTTCCAAACCGCAGTATACTTTGATAATGGTTATCGTCCCATGACAACACCAGAAAGGAAATATTTTAGAGACAGATCAGAAAAATGTCTAATTTCTGTGCCTGAATGGCCAATCAAGTAGAAAAAATCGTTTTGAAAGTAACGATTTTCATGTGGACAGGTTTCCTTATAGTCAATGTAGACTATAGAGTTTTAAATGTATGTCTCAATTACAATTTCATTCATTTGAATATCATTCCTTTAAGTAGATTTGAGTCTAATATTGTTTTGCATTATTACTGTTGTTATTGATAGTAATGTATTGCTGATAACAAATAGATGCAAACATGATGGACTTGTTTAAAACTTGTTTAAATCCTCTGAACTTGTTTAAATCCACTACTTAAATCCTCTTGCCAGGTTTAAACTTTTGAAGGTTGGTATCCAAAGATATAATTGCAGTTTGCTGCCTCTTTGGCAATTAAAATCAGTCACTAGTTTCCATTCAGTCCAGATCATTCTTTAAAGGGCGTCTTCCTGTATAGGGTGCAGAAAGGAAGTTTGCCATGTTTGAGAACAGAGATTATTTCTTGAAAACAAGTTCACTGTTGCTACTGTATCTTGGACTTTGAAACTATAACTTTAAATGACTACTTGTTTACAAAACTTTCTTGCACTGGTTCAGAACAGCATGCATTTTTATGGAGGTTAGGTGTCTTTGAATGCCAGAATCATGGGTATTATTTGGGGTATACATTGGGGGAAATACGTTTTAAACGTGACATTTTTGTCTTAGAAAACATATTTCTAAAGGTGCTGTTGACTTAAAATTTTTACCAGATGTTGGTAACAACCAAAGAAATTCATATGTGCAAAGAAAACAAATCTAATTAGTTTGCAAATGAAGTTATGTGTAATAAATTGAAATGGCAGGCAAAAAGTATTGAAAACATAAAGAAAGGGTGGTGTAGAAAGGCAGTGTAAGCCCAGACAGTAGCTGAAATCTCTCAGTAGTTATTTAGCAACCCTCTGCCCTTCGTCATTGTAAATTCATATCAGTTACTTCAGTCCAACATCTACATTAACAGGATGTTAAAGATGAAACAAGACTGGACATTTCAGCAAGACAACGATCAAAAACACAGCCAAGGAAACTCTCAAGTGTTTCAGAGAAAGAACATCAAGCTGTAGAATAAGTCAATAACCTGACTTAAATCCAATATAAAATACAAATTAAAGATCAGATTTGATAGACGAGATGCACAGAACCATCAAGATTTTCACAATCTGTTGAATTATGTGGGGGAAAAAAAACACTGACTTCAAATGCTTTATAGGAAAAAAAAAATGCCTTTTTGTATAAAGTATGAGATACATTTCAGTACTTCAGTATTTTCTGCTTGTATTTCATTGTCCTTACACATAACCCATTTTTTCAGATTTTTTTTGGTTATATTTGTATGTTTGTATTGTTTGGGATTACACCAAAACCATTGTCAACAGCTTCTTTAGAAACAAAAAACTAAGATGACGTGTTCAATACTTACTTCTCCCCCTGTATATAAATAATGGTGCAGCTAAAACATCTACTAACAAAAATACTCTGTTATAATGGTCATGGTGGTTGAGGAACTTTTAAGTTTCAAGCTGAACAATAATGTCTTTCTCGAATTGTGTCAACCAATAAGATGATGTTGCCTTGACTTAATCCAGAGTTGTCTAGTTTTTAAAATAACATAGTCCCACTTACATAGGAAATATATTAAGCCGTGTTAAACTTAGAAAAAATGGTAAAACGTGTAATCGTTTAGTCAATCAAAAGCAGCCTCGGGCATGCTTATGGTGTGTGAAGCTCATCGTGTGACCATTTTTATGTACTGCACTCTTACTCTTCAGCTATGCATGGGTATGTCCATATTTACATTCTGTGGCACCTTTAAAACACTAGAGATCAGTTTATGTCAGAAAACAAAGTTAGTCACAATTTATTTGCTGTATTGCCAACAAAAACTAGTGACAGATAGCTTGATATATCTGAAAGAGATAAATACAGTGTGAAACTTTGGTCATAAACCGAGTTCACTGATAAGTGAATTTGTGTTTTTGGGTCAATTTGATAAAGTTAGTGGTCTTCTTTTCATAACAATAATCACCTTAAATTGGTTATTAGGTGCTTTCTGAGTGTGTCTTATTAACTTTAATTGACTGATTTAATTAAATAGTGTTAAAGATTAATAAATAAAAATGAAATAATTGTAAATGAAAGAAACCTGGATTTTTAGAAGGAAATACATGGCCATAGAATAGAAACAAAATTAAGTAATTAAAAATAAATACATTTATGTTTTGTTTGGGGAGCAAATATGTGCACCTTGATCATCATAAACAATCATAAACATTTTCTCAATGTCAGTTTATCTGTATATCTATGTTGATATAAATCAAAGTTTATAAGTAAATCTAAACTAAGATAAATAGACATACCCCTGATGCATCTTGGCTGTTAAACTCTTTACAATTTCATAATAATACAAATAAATAAAACATTAGTTTTTGCCTTTTCTCTTAATAGAAGGAATACATAAAGGTATTTGGTGAAAGAAAAACGTTTCTAAACCCAAGTCAAAACCCAGGTTCAGTCAAAAAAAAAAAAGTCACATGGATTTGGACTGAAAAAAAAAATCACACTGGAGCAATGCATGTAACATACATTTCCATATGATCACAAAGAAAAGTCTTTTATATAAATTATTTAATATGTTTCAGTACTTTCTCCTTGTGCCATTCCATTGTTATAACATTGATTCTATTAATACATACATACATACATACAGTTAATTTAACCCTTTCGAATTGCTCTAAATGTCTACTTTCGAACAAATATTTCTAATTAGCCAATCACATGGCAGCAACTCAGAGCATTAAGGCATGTAGACATGATCAAGACCATCTGCTGCAGTTCAAACAGAGCATCAAAATAGATAAGAAAGGCAATTTAAGGGACTTTGAACGTGGCATGGTTGTTGGTGCCAGATGGGCTGGTCTGAGTATTTCAGAAACTGCTGATTTACTGGTATTTTCACGCACAACCATCTCTAGTATTTACAGAGAATGTTCCGAAAAAGAAAATATCCAGAGGACAGCAGTTCTGTGGGCGCAAATGCCTTATTGAGGCCAGAGGTCAGAGGAGAATGGCCAGACTGGTTCGAGCTGAATAACCACTCATTAAAACCGAGGTATGCAGAAGAGCATCTCTGAACGCACAACATGTCGAACCTTGAGGCGGATGGGCTACAGCAGCTGAAGACCACACGGGGTGCCACTCCTGTCAGCTAAGAACAGAAAACTGAGGCTACAATTGGCACAGGTTTACCAAAATTGGAAAATAGAAGATTGAAAAATTGTTGATGGTCTGATTTTCGATTTATGCTGCGACTTTTGACGTCAACACCATGAAAGCATGGATCCATCCTGTATTGTATCAATGGCTCAGGCTTGTAGTGGTGGTGTAATGGTGTGGGGGATATTTTCTTGGCACACTTTGGGCACATTAG